GATCCCACATGCCGCGGAGCGGCTGGGCCTGTGAGCCATGGCCGCTGGGCCTGCGCATCCGGAACCTGTGCTCCGCAATGGGAGAGGCCACAGCGGTGAGAGGCCCGCGTACCGCAAAACAAAACAAAACAAAAGAATTAAATAAAATTTGAAAGTCCATCCCTCAGTTGCACTGGCCACCTTTCAAGGGCTTGATAGGCACGTGTGGTTAGTGGCTGTCCATCATCTCAGAAAGTTCTGTTGGGCAGCTGGTCTAAGAAGGAATAGTATTTATCAGTATAAGGGCAGGAGATTCTAAACAATTTTAAAATATCTTCATTGATAATGGTGGAAGGTCTTGAAAGTCTGCCACACATCTGCATGGGGCACTTGACCAGCTTAACGCTCAAGAGGAAACAGTGTACACACCTCAGGTCTCATTGTTCATTTGTTGAACTGCTCTGATTGAACTGCCCCCACTTAGCCATGCACCAGTGAGGTTGGCTTTATTTTTATAACTTACTTCCTTTTTTCTCAAAAAACCCTATTCACGCTCACCAGTGGAAAAACTGAAGTTAGCCCAATCTTATAAATATCAGTTCTGCCCAGCCGCTTACAGTTTAAAATAGTTTCATTTCGAGGAAACATTCCATCACATTCAGATGTTACTATTTTGTATCACTTTTCGGTTGAGAGCCCCTAGCCTGGGCTTGGGAAGCCTAAGACAGCTTTGTTTATTAACGCTCCCTTCCCTTCCTCCTGGCAGCCCCTCCAGCCGGCTCCAAGGGTGTCCCCGTGGGAGGTGGAGAAGCAGGACCTCTCCTGTCTGTGCCAGGCCATGCTTCTCTGCCCGACCAGGCCCTCAGTATCCACTGCTGGCTGTGCACTTGGCTGGATCCACCTACATGGGGTCCCAGGGAGGATCTGGCTGTGATGCTTGGTACAGGCTGTGGCCCGGCAGGGTGTCTCTGTCCAGGGTCCTCATCCCCCTTTGTCCCCCCACCCTTTTCCTTACTTCTCCTTGGTGCTGAGAGCTACTAACTCAGTTTACAAGGGTACGTTGGTTACCCATTGCTGCAGATCAAATGACCCCAAAACGTAGCAGCTGAAAACAACAAAATATTATTCTCTCACATAGTTTCTGAGGGTCTGGAATACAGGTGTGGCCTAACTAGGTGGTTCTGAATCAAGGGGTCTTGTGTGGTTTCAGTCAGGATCTCAGCTGGAGCTGCATGGCCTGAAGGCTTGACTGGGGCTGGGGGAGCCACTTCCAAGGTGGTGCACCCACATGGCCATTGGCAAGAGGTTCAGTTCCTTCCCACGTGGGCCTCTCCACGGAGCTGCTCACGCCAAGGAAGCTGGCTTTCCCCAGACCAGCTGATCCAAAAGAGAGAGAATGACCAAGATGGAAGTGTCTTTTATATCCTAATCTCAGAAGTGACATACCATCTCTCCTGTCATATCCTGTTGGTCTCATAGACCAACCCTCATACAATGTGGAAGGGGAGCTACCTAAGGGTGAGAAAACCAGAAGGTAAGGATGCTGGGGGTGGAGGGAGGCTGGCTACCATGTTGAGGTTCATCCAGTGTGAGAATTTAGCTGGAAATCAAGCTCTCTTTTAACTTGTTCTTTTATTTTATTTATTTATTTAAAAAAATATTTATTTATTTGGCTGCGCCAGGTCTTAGTTGCAGCACACGGGATCTTCGTTGCCGCGTGTGGAATCTTCATTGCCATGTGTGGGATCTTTAGTTGCGGCATGCTGGATCTAGTGGGATCTAGTTCCCTGACCGGGGCTCGAACCCGGGCCCTCTGCACTGGGAGTGCGGAGTCCTACCGACTGGACCACCAGGGAAGTCCCTAACTCGTTCTTTTAGAATTAGACAAGTTGTTTTCACCATGCATGAGCTTTTCCAGGAAAGACCCAGGACGGGTCCTTGCTGCGATTACCGTGGATACACCTACTTATAAAATCTGTTTTTATTAGGTAAGTAACATGTATTCATTGTTGAAAAGGAAAAACAAAACAGACAAGTGAAAAAGCAGATGAAAGTCATCTTTTAGTTCACCTTCAAAAGTAAACTCTGACATAGTTTTACAGAATTTTCTTCTGTATGAATGTTACTTTTACAGACTCTTTTCTGTCCATTCATGCTTTTAACAACTATTTTTTGAACATCAATTATGTGTCAGTAATTCTACTTCCAAGGATTTATTTAAGGGAACATTCAAGGCCGTGAGCAAAGAGTTAGATACAACCAATTTAATCCAACACATTTACCCAATAATCTTGATGCTGTTTTACACTTGTTTGTATTTCAGACTTTTTCTTTTTCCTCATGGTTTCTGGTTCTGGGAGTTCTTATCCTCATCTAAGTTTATGTAAATTCATTTTTAAGTGGTGGGATTTTAAAAAATCCTTCTACTTTCTTTGTGTTATAAATAAAAAAGGTATAATTATGGCCATTCGGTGTCCTCCATAGATACACTTTTCTGTCATCATGTTTTGTTTCTTTGTTCATTTTCTCTGAATTTTGAAAACTTTTTTCAAGATGGTCCCTACACATGAATATTCCCCTCTTTAAATTTTAAAATTCTTAAAAAAATATTTAACCAAATAATTAAAGCAGGCAAAATAAAATTCACAACATACATATAAGATATAAACTACCATCAGCTTAAGAAATCAAACAATACCAGTATCTCAGATGCTCTCTCCTCCTCTCTGGTAAGCGCTATCCTGAAGTTTGTGGTTGTTATTCCCTTGCATTTCTTTATAGTCGTACAACAAACATGCGTATCTTTTTTTGTTTGTTTGTTTTTTGCGGTACGTGGGCCTCTCACCGCTGTGGCCTCTCCCGTTGCGGAGCACAGGCTCCGG